GTTTGGGAGGATCGACTCCCAAACAAACGGGGAGTTTTTATTTTTTTTTTAATTAAATTCTTAGGGAGTCGACTCCCAAACCGGTCGATGGTTTTGGGGGATCGACTCCCTAATTTCGGGGGTTTTGGGGTTTGAGAGTCGACTCTCCAATTTTGGGGAGTCAATTAACCAAGCCCCTATAAATAAACATTTTTTACATGAAACTACAAATAACTTCTAAACCTTAATCAAAAGTTAGAATATTATTTCAGATTCTGAATTCTCATGCAAAATAACCTAGGGTACCCCACCAGAAGTACCCCTGAATTATTACTCCTTCAGGTACTTCTGTGTACTCTGAGTGACACTTGCTCATTTTGCTAAAAACCCTCCCAGTTACATCATACTACATGTTGTGACAGGTCTACATATGTAATTAAGGTTCATGCAGTTCGGGAAAAATCTACAAATAAGGTTGACATCATTGAAACCTTAACTACAGTGTCACAACAACTGTAACTGGCTGGTCAAAAGCCATTTGTGGCCCTTTTTGGCCCAATTTGGCTAGCTACGCCTGGTTAAGACCAGCCCACTGGTCATTAAAGGGTCCCAGTTCCCAAACCATGGCTGCAGGTTTGTCACAGCACCCCTAGTTTGTGTTACAAGCCTCACTTCAGCCCTCTGCCACCTGTAACCAAGGACTACAGGTGTCTAGGCAGTACTACAGGTCACCAATGCCTAGTAGGAGGCTTGCACCAGCCAAACAGAGTTCTGAGTTCGCCTCCAAGGGCCCAGAATGAGTATATAAAGAGCCCTTCTTGACCACGAACTCAAATTCCCCATCTTCATCATCACTTACCAGCAATAACCACCTCCAACAACCAGTTTATCACCTGTTTTGGCCCAGTTCCTGCTGTTTTTCATCCTGAATTTCAACCAACCAACCATCAACTGTTCCCCAGCAATCTCTCACCACCTGTTACCCAGTTTTCTGAGCGCTTCCAGACCAGTTTTCACCCACCTGAAGTCCCCCTTGGCTTGGAAATAGTACAAGTAGGTAATATTTCCTTGATACTTCAGTTGTAGGCATTTGTCTGGGCATACTCCTTTTGCACAAAGGACCAGACCATCAGGTACATCAAAAATACCCCTGTTTTATCAGGTCCTGATTCTTTGGAGGGCACCATAAACACACCTGTAACTCAGGCCCCTCCCTTTATAAAAACTTAACAGTTTTTATTATTTCTTTTCTTAATATCAAAACCTCCCCATTCCAAGTGTTACCCACACTTGTACACCTTTTTTCTTAGCTTTGCACCTGGTGTAGCTAGAAGAGTCAAGCTCTTGGCATCACCCAGGCTGACAAGATTTTCCAGATTTTCAAATTTGTAGATGCTCTAGATATTCTAGATTTTTCAGATTTTTTGGATTTTTTGGACTTTTTAGAATTTTTAGAATCTTTAAAATTTTTAGAAATTTTTAGAATTTTTAGAATTTTTAGATTTTATTTAAAAAAATCTAAAAAAAAAAATCTAAAAAATCTGAAAAATCTAAAAACTTCTAAAAACTCTAAAAATTCTAAAAAAATCCAAAAACACTAAAAAAACCAAAAAATCTGAAAAATGTAGAATATCTAGAGCATCTATAAATTTGAAAATCTGGAAAATCCAAAAGCTAACAATTCAGAAAATCCAAATAATTCAGATTTTTTTCAATGTTTACAGAATTTTCTTAAAATTTACAAGATTTTCTTTTGGGGAAATTCTGTATAGGCCCAGGTGGAAATTTGCATGCTGTGTTCCTGCTCTGGATATTGTAGGTCATGTGGTCTGCAAGGACAGACAACGAGTTTCATTCCAAAAACGGAACAAAATCACAACTTGGCCAACTCCAATTAATCTTACGGAACTACAAGGATTTATGGGGATAATAGTTTATATCAGGATTTTCATCAAAGACCTGCCAGAAATTGCAGCCCCTCTTGGAAAACTCACCAGGAAGGACAACCTATGGACGTGGAACACAGAATGCAGCCAGGCTTTCAACAAACTTGAGCAAATAATTGGCAAAGACATCACTCTCAACAACCTGGATTACTCAGAAGGCGCAGGA